TGTTAGATCACCAGGCGGCTTAAGGATGTTTTGTTTTTACTGCAATCGTGGAAAAGATTCACGTCACTAGTTGTAAGATTGTGCTGTACGTTGGAGCAGCAGACCCAGTGTGTGCGGCCGGTATGTAAAATCTGAATGAAGCGCTGTCCATCTGCCTTTGAAAAACCACCAAGAGGTCCAAATGTAGTGTTCTTTGTAGACCTGCTAGGTAAGGGAATTTGGCAAATAATAGATTTTGAGCGATGTTGATTGATTCATCAGCTTTGAAGGAGAAAGTTCATTAAATTCAAGAATCTCAATGTCGTCATTATCACTTTCTAAATCCTGATTTGTTCCATCTAAATATTCTTCATGGCAATCTGTTTCAGTGGCATCATCATCATCATCATCATCATCATCATCATCATCATCATCATCATCATCATCATCTAGATCATCATGAACGACAATGATGTTTTCAACACATTTATTCACGTATATCTCTTCTTGTTTTTTCTTTTTTGATTGGGCGGGTTTATCTAACATACCATCAAGATTGGACACTAGTACAGAGCGCTTCATTATATTTGCCTTTTGTCCGAACCGGCCAGAGTTTGGGCTGTTTTATGAAAGCTGTTTTAAASCTCATGCAGATCGCACGCGAATATTGTATATTACTTATGCAAATGAACAAGAATCTGTATGTAATATACAACTCTCTTCATGGGCTATGATTTCTATTGTGTTTTGCCTTATGAATATTAATGAGTTTTATAAAGTTATTTWTCTTGTTTATTAACATTTTATACCTTTATTTGTGCAGGATGTAAGCTGGWCATGCAAGTTCTACTATGAAGATGCTAGGATCCAAGCAGGTGAATTATATCATCATGGTTAGATTCCATAGCGGAGCTCCCGCGCGGGCCGAATTGGGTGAGTGGTGTAAATCCCTCCACCAAATCCAGTTCCAACGACAACTTGCACGTCACAACTCAGATTGGTGTGTTTTAAATTGACAAAATGTTCACTATACTTGAAGGGACATGACTTGCACACCAGTCCCTTCAGACCAACGTCAAGATTTATCAGCCCATCGGTAACTGAGTTTCTTCAGAAGACAGACATTCTGCAATACTTGGTCCTTTACTACAATACTCCAGTTTCGAATTCAAAGCGAATAACCGCTGTTTTACTTGACAGCAGATTCTATTACGCAAAGAACTTACCAAAGACAACAGAAAGCACGAGAAAATGTTGTTAATACAATAGCGCTAAGAATCTACATTTTCCCCAAGTTGAGGCTAACCCTGCCCATACCGTAGGTCTTATGGGAATACAGGGACAATCTCAACTCGGGGAAAATGCAAATTTTCAAGTCTATTGTAATAACGACATTTTCTCGTGCTCTCGTTTGTGTTTGTGAGGTCTTTGCGCAAGAGAATCTGTTGTCAAATAAAGCAGCGGTTATTCGCTATGAATTCAAAACTGGAGTATAGTCATCGCCCTATTAATTTTATTTCTTGATTTATTTCTTTTTTCTTTTTTTCAGGTCAAATGAGAGTTCTAGCATTGGTGAAGGCAGAAGACTTGCGATTCATCAAACTTATATTCTTGTGAAAAATCAATGAAYAAATATAATTTTTTCTGCTTTGTTTTTACCTGTTTGCTTTCTGTTTTTGTTTCATTGATTTTTTTACAGTAGTTTCTAGTGTCTTAATCATTTTACCGGTCTTCCTGTCCCTTGAAAAAAAATTCTTTAAATTTTGTTTTGGAGTACTCTACAAGCAGAGAATTTTCCTAACCCCTTCTAAAAAGAAGAGGAAAAAATGCCAGAGAACGGTTAGTACAAGGGGCATAGAGCAAACGTAGGAAAACCATGAAATAAAATCAAACTAAATGCTCACAAATCAATGAACAGGAACGCAATCAAGATGAATTAAAAATGGTCCCATGTGGATTCATCTTTATTGTGTTCTGGTTCATTTATATTGACAAATTTTCTATATATGGCATATTTGTTAGTTTTTGGTTTGATTTTATTTCATTGTTTCCTGCCTTTGCTCTAACAGGAAAAGACTGGTTAATGGTTGGTTTAGCACATTAGTCACGTGGAGTGATCAAAAGGTAATACCACCAAGATTCTGGAGGCGCAAGGGGGTGGAAACCCCTCTGCTTGCAGGGTAGTTTTGTATCTATATGCCGTCTCAAATTACTAAAACTTAATTGAGATTCTAAAAGAATAAACCTTCATAGCTTTGAATAGCTCCATATCTGTGAGTCACATTCTGATAATCAGGGTCTGGAAGGGGGGGGGGAGGGGGGCAGTCTCGTACCCCGAGCCATCGACAAACATTCGCCAGAAAAAGGAAGGCTCGGGGTACGAGATTGGAAGGGGGGTCCTTATCCCGCCTCTTTCACAAGAATCACGCGTACCATGCGTATTTTGGGTGTTTAGCACAGGAAACCCATTACACGGTATTAAACAAAATGCCACGTTTTCCCGTGATTTGCAAAAATACGTAAACATAAATTCCGCTCCCAAATTTTGGCGTATCCCGCTTCCGGTAGAACATTCAAATCCCTGATTCCCATCAATATATTTGCTTCTTCGCGATTTCCGTGTCGTGTTTTGAGTGGGTCGGATCCCGAAAATACCCTTTCAAATCCTGCGCTATAGCATGCTCCAAGGTAACGTTTGCACGGATCCAGACAGATTTTAATTGCAGAAAATTTGTTTTACCTGTGTACAGCAATTTGTAATAAACCGGCGCTCTGCCATATTTCAAAAATATCACAATGACCTTTGGAATTATGGGATGTTATCGCTGATATACTATTTAGTTGTCTCGAATGACTAAAATGTCGGAGGTGGTGTTCCGTAATTTGTAATATCACTTTNTCACTTTTCCCCACAATGTTCTTTTTAGTCTAGTTATTGGAAGTATACTAAAGGAGTTTTATGAATTCAAGTAAAATATCACAAAATAGCATTTTGTCTTGAATAAAATATGCACTTTAATACGTTGCTTTTCATGTTATTGTTCATTGAAAATCTGTTCTATACGTTATTTCATTTGTTTTGTGTGTGTACTACAGATATGATTAAATAATAATAATATATAAGCTTCTATAGCCCTTATATAGCTTTCTCTAAGCATGGATAATAAAAGTGATTTTATTATCCATGCTCTAAGCGCTTTGAATAAAAGGTAAAAATTGAAATAAAAAGTCAAAGTGTCATCAAAGTGAGATTGACAAAGAAATTAGATAGTTAGAGACTATATACTAAGTTTGCTTAAATAAAGTTTGCGTTGCCTTTGAAATTTAGAAGAAAAAATGGTAGAAAAAAATGCCTATAAATGATTTGTATGCGGAAGACATTTCCGTTTCCGGTGTTCGCCCTAGTCCCTAATGCGGAAATCGCGGTCGTGATCCTTGCAAAACCACGTGACATCACCATCAACATGGCTGCTTCGTACAGTTGAGATGGCAGTACGAAGTAAAGACAATCGAATATTTCTGCTGCAAAATGAGAGCAGTCCGGGATAAAAGCATAAAGGAGCTGTCTTTATAAAACATACAATGATTTGGGTCAACCCAGAGCTGTTTTCTGGCGTTGTATTTAGTTATTAACTGGCATAACATCCTCGAAAGTCATTCTTGGCTGAAAGTTGTGCTGGTCTTTTGAGGAACAGTTCCTGTTGAAGAAACTTAGATATCCGTATATTTGCTGTTGTGGAAACTTCACTTTGCTCAAGGTAAGGATCATTGCTCAAAGGAATTATCCTCCCAACGTTGGGGTTGGATTATTGGGTGTGCAATGTACAAGGATCTTTCCTGTCGATTCGTGCAGCTCAAGATTTCAATGACTAGCAGACCTCCTACGCCGTCTGCTCTTTAGCTTCTACTACGGTCTTTCGGTTTTTGCCTTCCGTTGTAGCTCTTCACGCTTAAGGGATGATATTTTTATCGGAAAAAATCCACATTATAACATTTGCAGGTATATTTATATCGTATTTTTGGAATAATCAAGCTTCATGCAGAAGTCATTCACTATGAAATCACTGGATCAACGTGTTATTTTTTCTCCTATTTGTTTATTTTGACTAGTTTACTACTGTAGATGATAATTTCCTTGATATATTTTATTCTGTTTTCATTATGTCTAGTAAGAATATTAGTCAAATTTCCTTTTTATTGTCAAATGCGAAGAGTTGATCAATGAACATGTGCAGAAATAATGTTGAAGTGATAGTGCGAAAAAATATTTTGATTCGATGTGCTCAAAATTATATACTTATTTTGATTGGTAAATGATTAGGTTTGCTGAAATCCTAAGAAAATTCCTTTTTATATCTTTTTAAGTGMGCTAAAGTGCATTACGATGAGCATGTGCAAAAGATCTTTAATATCAGGAAATATGATACCGTGAAATATCCTGTGAAATTTACACGACATTAACCTTTCAAAGAATTTCAAATAATCCTTGGATTTTGAATTGATTGATGTCATGGCTTTTATTTTTATCCTATATAATGTACAAGATTATCTAATTTTTTTGTAGAGCTTAAATTTAATGAGCACACAGTGTGTTTACTTTCCAGTCCTTGCTTATTATTTCGTTTGTACGTTAAATTTTATGATGTGCACCGACTTTGATCTTTCCTCTATCCACTTAATAATTGCATTTGGCAAACTGTTTCTATAATTTATTCACTTTTATACTCAACTTACAAAAATATGTTTACAACTGTTTTTACTACAATAAAATTACAAATAAGAGCTGTTACTACATTGTAACAAAACGTTTTTATTTTTTTTCATAACATGTACAGTGTAAGAATATAACTTGTTTTCCCAGTGTGTAAAAATGAACATAGTTTGTTTGTTTTTTTTCTGGGCAAAAATCTTCGTCTTGCCCAGTTCTCAGTGATCAAAATATGATATTGTTTTCCTTTAAAATGTGTAAGATAATTGCTAAATGCCATATTTGAACAAAGCATTGTTTTTTATTTGATTTTGATGCTCTCCATGTGGTCTTTTAACATCTATAAGTGCACTACATGTCACCATAACCATGGAAACACACCCATCATTGCTTTTTATTACATAAAAAAACATGGTTTCCATGGTAATGTGTATATATAGCATGCTCTTACATCAATCAGATGTGTAAGAATGCATAAGAATGAAAATGACATTATTTACGTAAGATCCAGAATGTTTGTCAACAAATAGTATTGGTAACAGGTCTTTATTACCCTCTGGACACCCCATAATTTCTACATAATTGAAAATGGTAGCTATTGGTAATAAGTTCTTTATTGGAAATATTATAATAATGTAAATTATATCCTAAATTGCTATTTCTGCAGCAAAATGTCAAGAAAGCACAGCACATTATTAAAAGAAGAAGTTGACGATGAAGAAAATAGCTCAGGATCAGACGGAGTTGGTAAAAAACGAGAAAAAGATAAAGATGGAGGTATTTTTCAAAGGGAATTACTTTGCCTCTAAATCAAATATACAGTCAATTTATTATTCACAATGTTTTATTTGCTACAGTAATAACATACTTTGATTAGTGATAAAGACAAACGATCTATCTTGTTATTGATTGTTTTTTTACTCTTTACTAGTATATAATATATGAAATATGAGCAAAAGACCTTAATCAGGCATGTCGGAATTATGAGCGGATGCGGACGCGCATAATTGCCCCCTTTCCGCATAATTTGCCAAAACGCACATAATCCCGCATAATTCGTGTTTTTTTTTCCATGTTATACCATTTTTTAAGATGACTTGCCTTCTACTAATGTTTTTTGTGGTCCATTGACTGTTTTTTTGATCAAAAAACGCTCCCAAACATGCTTATAATTTTCCGAATATAGTTTTGTTTTCGTGGGCTTCACAAATGTACCAGGCGTTCAAAATTTCATCAGAAAAGAGTCTGGGCACTAGCATTACTGGTCACCCTGTGCCTTACTAGATCACGTGACAAATTCCAATATGGCATATGATACAAGTGAGATGTAAAGCGTGCGAGAACGAAAAAGTCTAAAAAGATCTTTCCTTCTGTTGGTACTGCCTTCTGTACTTCGTAACTAAGATAAAAACGGATTTTTGCATGAAAAACAAACACAATAACCTAAATATATGTAAAATTTCCCAAAGTTTACGTTCCTGTGATGATGTCATCCYGCATAATTTTCCGCATAGTTCACCCTTTTCTCCRCATAATATGGGGAAAAAATTCCGCATAATTTTGATTTTTTTSGCGCATAATTCCGACATGCCTGCTTAATGCACATTTAAGTGTTAAAGATCATAAAGGTCAAGTGCAAATATTTTATATTGGTTATCAAATTCCAACATAAGCTAAAGAATATTTTGCTAAAAACGTCAAGGTAAAATCTCATTTGTAAGAGAAAATCGAAGTTAAAGTCGTATGCAAATCAGGACAAATCTCTTGCTCATATAAAGATGTGGTCACGGCAATGATTTTCCATTGTGTTTACCTTATGAATTATTAATGAATGAATTTGATAAGTGAATGGAAACTTTGCTTGAAAGGTCTATACCCAACACAATAATTGTTGTTACCCTAACAAACCATTTATTTCTTCTTTTTTTTTCAGAATATAAAAAGAAGAAAGCATACAAAAAAGGTGACAAAAATGAAGGCTATTTTAATGACAGTATGACCAAGACATCCAGAGCAATAGGAGGTGCCGCTGTAAATCCATCTGCCGAAACAGTAACGTCACCAGTTCACACACAACAACCTGGTGTGATTCCTGCACCTTTGCAGCCTCCGCCATCAAGCAGGCATCAGAACCAGCAGAACTTTGTTCCAGTAACAGCTGGAAATGTGCCAAGCTATGCTGCAGCGGCACAAGGCCATGGGGCTGTGCAAGTTCCAGTGCATGCTGTTAATGCAGCTGCACCATCAAACTGGCAACAGCAGCAGGCAATGCTGCAGAGACTTCCACCACCACCAGGCACRCAACATGTACAAATGCCTCAGCAATATCAAGTGCAATCCACTAATGCACTTACTCAGGCTCAATTTGCTTCCCAAAATGTCTCGCCCACTCAGAGACAAATCTACCAAGGTCATCCCCCACCCCCTCAGCAGCAAGGGCAGGTATACCAACCCCCACCCCCTCAACAACAGGGGCAAGTCTATCAAGCTCCTCCTTCTCAGCAGCAAGGACAAAATTACCAAGCACCACTCCCTCAGCAACAAGGTCCAAGTTACCAAGCCCCACCTGCACAGCAAGGACAGAATTATCAAGCCCCACCCCCACAGCAAGGACAAAATTTTCAAGCCCCACCCCCACAACAACAGGGACAAATCTACCAAGCTCCACCCTCTCAGCAGCAGGGTCAAAATTACCAAGGTCCTACCCAACAGCAGGGATTCTATGCAGTTGGTGTGGTAGGATATCCAGGGGGTCCAATGCTGCATCAGAATATTGCCCATGGGCAAGTCCCACATTCACAAGGTCCTCAGAGCCCCACTGGTCAAGGTCAAGTCCATGATCCTAATTGGCAGCAATATGCTCAGTCTGATGGTAAAGTATTCTTAAAGGCTGACCATTTGATGTTTGAGGGGGTAGTAGAGAGGGTGCCATTTTTTTTGGGGGGGGGGAGGAGAGGGGGGATGATGTTTTTTTCTCTTACAATAGCTTAGGATATTTTCTTACTGCGTGAACGTTCTCAAAATCATTCACCCCTCCCCCCTCAAACATGAAATGTATCCCTCCACTGTATTTAATTCTGTAGGTTGTACATGTAGATCTTTTAGAAATGCAGGTTTTTATGCCTGCAATTCAAAGTTTTATAAAATAATGGGTTTACTGACTTTCTATTTGAGTGCATGCCATTAATCAAAATTAATACTGGAGTAGTGAAAGCTAGTGCTCATGTTCCATGTAAAATATGCTGAAACGTGTCTAAAATGACATCTGCAACYGAGCAGTTCTAAAGCCCATAAAGCTTGTTGGGTGCAAATATTTCAAACTAAGCTTAACTATATATTTTGCTAAAAACGTTAAGATAAAATATTATTTTTAAAAGAAAAAAAGGAAAAATTGTATTATACAAATCAGGACAAACCTCCTTCCCATATATAAAGATGTAGTCACGGCATTAATTTTCTATTACTTTGTTTACCTTAAGAATTATTGAATTTGATAATAGTTGTATAGAGGTCCTTTTACTATGATACCCTCCAACTGAGAGTTGGAATTATCATATCACTATCATGATAGATTATGTATTTTCCAGGAAATTGGAGTGGACACCCCAATGACGGTTCCTGGACAGGCAAASCAATACCACCAGACCAACAAAGRGATGGTAACTGGGCAGCATTTGATGGAAGYCCACCAGAGAAAACACCACAAAAACCAGCAAGAAAAGAAATAACRTGGAGAGAATCACCTGATAAYAGCTCTAGTGGTGAAGAAATTGAGTCCAATGATGACGACGAYGATGAAGAGCAGCAAGGTCTTATTAGGTAAGAAGAYATCATGTTGAACAATAGAGGTTTTGCCAAWATGACCACCTTTCATTAGCATAACATTTTTTTAAACCTAACCCAAAATGACCCCTGAAATACTAGACAGGCACAGCTACCTGTCAGATGGAGCAGGGAATAGTCTCCTTCACGGTTACCTTCGCCATCTTGAAAGGTAGCCGTGCCTTTGCATCGAAGTGAGACAACCGTTGAGCATGCAATGATAGATACCTGTGAATAATTGTCTGTAGGTGTGAAAGAAGGTTTCTATCATTGCAAGCTCAATGGTCGTCTCGCTTCGATGCAAAGGCACGACTACCTTTCAAGATGGTGCAGGGATCTGTGAAGGAGACTATTGTGAAGACTATTATGCAAAGTACTCCTCAAAGAGAAATTCAATGCAATACTTTAGTAATTTGGAATAGATTAAAATGACAAAAAGAAAGAGATCAACCCAAATTATCTTTTTTCGTCATTTTAATTATGCATTCCTTTTTCTCTCTAAAGTTTTGTGTAGTAGAATAATGTACAACATTAAACTTGTAGCTTTATAACTCAGATGTTTTATTCTATATTATAATAAAGTTCTTTGTTAAGCAAATATCAGTCTCTGATGAAGCCATAGATGGTGAAAGCTTCTAAAGACGTTTTTACTATCATAGAGAAGTGAGGCCACAATCGAACCTRTTCCAAAGTTCTTTGTAATTAGGTTTATTTTTAATTACCACTCTCTTTCTCATCTTTTGTTGTTTTGATTTGATGTTCAATTTCATCATGTAAATTTAATTTAAAAGGTTGATTAAATTTCTTCAAAGTTAATTACATAGCATCTTTCATGCTGTTTCCACTTAAGAATAATAATGGGTTGATTCTTGCTTTGCTATTGAAGCCCATCAAAAGGATTTGAAAGCTTTATCAAACTGCAMTKTGTTATTGATTTATTTTATTGGTTTTTACATATTACTGTACAGTGTACAGGTCGTGTACATATTGTATAAACAAACAATTTGTTTTTTTAACAAACAAAATTATGCTAATGATGACTTTTCTAATCTTATTATTTTATTCTCAATGGAGTGAAGGATTTGAAAACTTTTTCAAATGTGCAATGCATCAATGATTTTGTTCTTTTTTTCTTATTTTGACTAATCATTTTTGTAATATTAACTAATTATAGTTTATGTTTTTTTTTTCAATCTTTTTACGTAATGAACTAAAAATTACACACACAAAAAAAATTTTCACTCCCTTTTCTTTCCTAAAGTATAGTGAATATTTTCCTTCTCCCGAATTATCAGCTTCATTCATATGCAATGTGTTGCTTTTAGTGTTTTTGTAGTTGCTTTTTTGCTTTTTTTTAAATACACAATGAGCAAAACATTATCACTCATAAAAATTTTATTCAATTTGTTGTTTTTACTGATCCTTTTTTTTTTTTGCTTTTTTTGCTTTTTTAAAAATGCACAATGAGCAAAAAATCATCACAAATAAAAGTTCATTATTATAGTATTCAAAACTTATATCTTATATTGCATCTAATGTAAATATTTATGCTGTCCCTGCAGGAAAGGATAACATTTCTGCTGCCAGTACTAAATAATTAAACATCAATTTTAAAATGTTAATTCTTATAATTCCTTACTCTCCCAAAATAATGATTCATTATTTTACCCGCAATCTTTTAATTGTACAATAACTCTTGTTCCAAAGATTTCACAGGGTATTGTTAACTTTGAAGTAAAAATATTTCTTTACTAGTACATAATTAATCACCTATGACCTGTTTTTTGTTAAATAACAAAGGGTGTCTTAGTTTAAGCACATGATAATTTTGAATCAAATTTGCATTAATTACATCTGTAAACAAGTTGTACAACAGCAAAGCTGATTTACTGTTTCCATATCCACTTCTGGATAAACAAACATTGATTAAGGTCTTTGAAAATCATTGTGAGGRAATTGTAGAAGATGTTTGGAGATRAAAGSAACTATTTTAGCGAGAATATTGGACCAACATGCTCTGTTGGACATTAACCTTCTTGTAGCTGAGTACCAAAATGTTGTGCAAGTATGAAGTTGTCTCAGTATCTTTACTCTAACAACATTATAGTATAATTTGTACTTTCATTGGGTATAGAAACTTAAACTTTCATGCTTTTAAAGTGACCTTTATGTGTACAATTTATTCAATCATTTTTCTTTCCAAGCTTAATATAAAAACACTTTATCATTTCAACTTATCCATAAAGTTTCACTTTGCCTCAGCAAAGAGTTAAATCATTGGTTACTATTAATTTGGAACTTAAAACATTTCCAAATGTGGCTTTCAAAAATATGATTATATTGTGCAAACAATGCAGTGTTTGAATGGACTATAAACTTGTTTATCATGTTTTTATGATGCAGTTACATCAAGTTTTTTTTTCTGCATGCAGATGTTTGTACCTAAATGAGCATGCTTTAGATGTAAAACATAAATTTTCCTATAGTTTTGTCAATTAAAATATTTTGGAGAATTCAGTACTTTGTTTTCAAAGTGTGCTCCTCAAAGATTTTGATGTTTTGAACTTACTATCAGATTTTAATTTAGAAGATGTGCATAATTAGTGTTATTATTTCACAACATAACTATTATAAATATTGTTTACAACCTAACTGCTTTTAAATCTAATCTCAAAACTTATATATTCAAAATAGTCTTTTCTCTTTAGTTATTACTTTATAATTATGATTATTTTTATAGCGCTTAGTACAGACTCGAAAAGGTGCTATATATTAAGTCTTATTATTGTCATAAAGGTAACATTGTTGTTAGTTTTCTATTTTTCAAATTTCTTGTTATATTTTTGCAATATTTGACATGACTTACAACTTCCATTATTTTCCTATTGAACATGTTATACAATTTTTATACAATCTTTAACAATTCTCTACATGAAAGTCTGGACATTAATATTAACACCTTCTACTAGAATAATAATATCCCTATCTACCTTTAATAGTAGATCATGAATTTTCTACCTTTTAATGAGTCTTATTGAATGGCAAATAAGATTTTATCTTGTTTGACATTTTTTGGCATTTCATTATTCATTGTGTTCCAAGTTCTTGTGAATTAATGAAACCAGTACTCTTTCCCCTCAGTTAAGGAAATGAAGTCTTTGTTCATATATTGCTGCTTTGTAAACATACTTGAAAATGTTTATAGTAAAGAATAGAAGTGAACAGGGCGCAGTTAAGATTTGTTTATAAATTAAAATGGTGGAAACTAGCA